CCGGAAAAAAAATATCAGCGAGAACTTTGAGCCACTTCAAACAGACATGCACATTATTATGTTAAAATTAAATGGGCAAACTGCAAACCCGAAATTTTCGAAAAGATTTTAATTCAAAAATTTTAAACTTTTATGCCAATTTTAAGATTTTTCTAAATTTTATACAAAATTCAAACGTTATATAAAAAACAAAAATATATATTTTATAATTGACAAAATTCTACATTTTTTTTTATTGGTGGTATGGTTTGCATGGCCACGATTTCATTTTTTTTTATTGAAAATTCATTCACTTCAAGTTTTTTTTTTTTAAACTACATATACACAAGACAAACACATCTAAGCGATGGTTGTCGAGCTATTCACAAATTGATTCTCACGCCATTTTCTAATAATATACCGACTAAGGATTGGTATTAGAACTGCATCAGTTCAATAAGTGTCAATCCAAACGTTAGCGACGGGTTTTGCTGGGCTAGACACGTGTGTCGTGATAACGAAAATCAATTCCTTTTAACGGTATCTGCAACAAACCACAAATATAGTGGCACAAAGTATGTATCTGTCGTTTTGAAAGTGGTATAAAACTATAGTTCTTGCCCGCAGAAATTTCGGAACAGGTCTATATGTATTGTCCAGAAAAACAAAAGAGATGTGTCCGAGTATTTTAGTTTTCGCAAAGAAGCCTTTATCTCCACACTGGGATGCACTTAGTTTAGATAGACAGACACATAAATAGAGTATGCACTGCGATCAGCAGATCCATGCACTTAGTTTAAAAATTTTCTTATTTTTAGTATAAAATGGAATTTTCAAAAATTAAAAATTTGCCATTAAATTAAGTTTACTTCCTATTTACACGGAGCTTGGTATTCGGAATCGGGTATATCTGCATGCATTTAGGGCTGTGTGTGTTACTCCGACCCGCGTGCATTCTAAGGAATAAACAGCTACAATTTCTTGGAAAATTTAAGCCAACTAAATACGAAAATGATGGCTATCATTTTATATACAAAATATATAGATAGCTATTTATACGATCAAAGCTAAGTTTTGAAGGGCTGAGATCAAATTCAAATTCGGATAAAAATTGTGAAAGTCGTTAATGTTATTTTGAACAAAATTTAGCCTTAGGTATTCCACTCCGTTCAGTAGCGATACAATTGGCCGCACATTTCTTTGGTTTCCACTCTTTATTTTCTAATAGCAACGTCGTTTTTAAAGATAACCATTGATTTATATTTCAGCGCTAGATTAAAGCAAATTATGAAAATTTCGCTTTATGAAAATGCAAAACAAACATTTTCTAAAAAAAAAAAAAATATGTATACATGTATGTACATATGTATATATAGACAAGGGAAACAAAGGAATTTCCCTTTAAAAACTAACTGAAGTGACGACTAAAGTTTTACACCGAGTAAATTTGACAAAATTCAAAATGATCTCTAAATTGCTATAATATTTACTACTGCAGTATACAATAAATACAAATATAAATTACCGATTATTGACTTAAAACAACAATATTATAATAGAAAATTGTACAGACTATATTACTTGAGACGACGACAACGCTTGATAAAGGCACGGGCACTCGACTTGACAATCCTTACAAACTATTAAACGAGCACTACTAAACTCTATAGAAGACGACTTTAAGCTACCCTTAGCGACTCTTTAACAAATAACTAGCTATACTATGTGGCTCGCTCTGTGGAAAATGTGTTGTTACTACATACAGCTAACAGGAGGACACTTAACCCATGTTATTAAAGACGAGGCAAGCATCTATTGATGAAATTGCTCTCTTTGTTGTAATTGAGATGATGGAGAATTTAAAGCTGCATTATTATTCAGTAACCAAACAATTATTGAATAAACGACAAGCATTAATTGCTGCTTCTACAACATTTACCATGAAATAAATTGTGAAAGATTCAACTTTGTCTCTAAGAGGTAAGAAAATGCTGTGATTTTTTACTTTTAATACAAAAAATGAATGAATTCGGAATGAAGTATTCTGGTTTGGTTTTATTCAGTTAAGCGCAATTGGCTGCAGGCAGAAAAAGTGGGTTTGGGCTTCAATCTTTTTTTGTTTTTTTTTTGCTTCTAAATTTGCATTTACTGCATAAAACACTTGAACCTTCAATACGACGTTCCGAAATTCATTTTTTATTTATTTAAAAATACATTTTTTTTATATAAGAACGTTTAGTAAACGAAACATACGGGGGCTTTTAGAACTTCAAAGCAATAACTCCTAATCTCAGATATGCCAATATGTTATTTACATGCTGTATATGATTATACAAACAAATTAAGCAAACACTCTCTTGTCTATGATATTATGCCAGATTATTCTGTAAAGCGAAAAAAAATACTATTTCTGATAACAACCGCTTTTTTTGGGGCCAAGCGTGAAGGATGCAGGCGGGCAAATGAGTTCGACTCATTTTTGTTTCTCTTAAGATTACATTGGATGGAGTAAAAAGTCATTGCTAAGTTGTTTAGGTTTTTCCAGTCATTATGTATAGAAAGATTTAAGATCAATCAATCATGTATTCTCCGTTTGGTTGATGACCTTTGAAATCTTTCGTTGCGAACGTTTCTCTGATATTTGCACGCGCAGTCAAATGAAAACCAAATATCGAGCTGGAGATTTTCTATGTTTAGGTGAAAAAATTCACATTTTTTTACTTGTCTTTCAATGTCGCATGTTGCCTGATAAACGTTGCAAAATAAACATATTAACGAAAACGGAGATGGAGAAGAAGATAAAAGATGATGAAAATAAAGAAGGATAATCAGACAACGTAAAAATAAACGTTGGGTAATAACTGTTCTCAAACAACGTAAAAAATAAACGTTGAGAAATAATTCTTATTGGCGACGACATACAACTTTCTCCTGCATATCAGTTATCAGGCAACGTAAAAAGTAAACGTTAGGTAATAACTCTTATTGGCGAAATAAAAAATATTTCTCATCTAATAACTGTTATGGAGCAACGTTTTTCCGATAAAACTTATAACTGTTATGTCCCTGATTATTCAGCTTCATTGCATAAGTCGTAAAATAGGCTAAATTTTACGACTCGACCACATTGGCATTGCGTACTGTCGTGCTGAAATAAGTAAGCGATGGAAATCGTCGAAAACTATACAGTGCTGCCAAGTTTTTACATTTTTGTACACCAGCCGAATCGATACGACTCGACTATCGAAAAACGACTTGCATACGACACGACATTCGCAATGAGGCCGATTGCTTTCAAATAACTATCTTTTCGAATGTTTCGGATACGAAAATTAATGATAACTACTGTATTCGTTTTCTATTTGATTCCGGATACGAAGAATCTCGTTGTTTTTGAGACGTTCTTGGATACGTAAAATGTCGAATTTTGTAGCCGTTTTCTATTCCTTTCCGGATACGGGAAATTGTGCGAGACCGCACAGTCGGCAAAATTTACCTTTCTCTGCTGGCTGGATAAGACTTTAGTGCTGTGACGAAGTATGCATTGCAGCGCAGTCTTATGGCTTTGCCGAAGCGAATAGGAATTGAGTAATGGCGTTTTCGTTTCTACCGAAAAAGGTTACCTTCTCTTTGGCCTCTACGCACAAATATTTAGATGAGGGCAGTGAGAAGGCAACATTTTTTGTAGAAACGAAAACACGCTATAAACAATCCAAAAATGCCCGGCACTGGTTTAGTATAAACAAATTGCAAAAAACAATTGATAAAATGAATACATTTTATCGAATCGAAATTTCCGCAACCACTAAAATGCAGTTGTCAATATACATAGCAACTAAGGTGCCAGCTTTTAGTTGGTAGTTGTATGTGTAATACCATTCCCGCCACCGGCAAACCCTCTGAAGTTCAGTTGTCAACTATAATCGACGAATTTCTTCATCAATTCAGTGGGTTTTACTGATTGAGGGAATCTTTGGTATACAAATTTCCAGCGCGGAATGTCTTCTCCCACCTTTGGTTGTTTGACGTTTTTTTTAAGAACGTCGGTTTTTTCCTTTACTAAAACTACAATATAACGAATACGCGCAGTATTGTCTTTCATTTTAAACTTGTAAAATCTCCTAAATTCGTTTTAAATTTTTTTTTCATATGACATGGTGACCAAGCTGCGGCTCCAAGCTGCCAAAAACTGCAAACATACGCAATGACTTTTTATTCCACTCGATAACTGTTCCATTTGATGGAGTCATACGCAAATCGAAAACAGATTTAATCCACTGATGCTTTTGTAGGCAAATTTGCGATAATTTGCATTACACACAATTGATGAATTGATTCTCTTACTCGTTCGTTCGTCGTTGTTAATTGCATTCATTTATTCTATTTGTTTAGGCTACATTAACATTCTCGTACATATGTAAATGAACTCGTCTAAAAAAAAAAAAAAAACTAGGAACAACTATTTTATCTATAGCTGACACATTTTGCATGTCATCGTTTTGCGTGCAAAAGTGTGTGTACAATTTTGGAGAAAATTTAAGCAATACAAATCTTTCTGTGAAATGGCATATCTGAGGCTTCTGATATTTTCTAAAAATGAATTTCCTACTCCAATCAAAAATAAAGAGATATAATGTAAAAGTTTTGTGCAAAAATAATCCTTCTCGATCGATAACATAAACGGCGAAATGTTTTTCAATCGAATTAAAAATTTGTGCATTTTTACTAAATACCACGAAAAATAATTGCAAATGAAATAAGTGTCCAGATTAAAAAAAAATTAATATCGAACAAATACAATTACATAAGTAAAAGTACGTTATAAAAAGAAATTCGTAATAACAATTTTACACTTTTTAAAGTAATAAGCATTCACAGCATAGAATAATTTAAGCAAATTTCGATTGAAAAGCATTTCAAACTGTCACACCATCAGACAGTCGCTGAAACGTATTTTCCCAATAGATTCCCCGGAACACCCATAAAAACAATTTATTTTTTTCCCCGCATATATTTTATAGGTTTATGAAAGGCGACAACAACGCGAGCGCGAGCGCAAACCCGAAAGAAGAATCGTTCCTGAAGTCACGATCGAGAAGAATGATTCGAAAGCGCCACCACCACCGCCATTTAATGTGAGAGCGGCGGGACAAAGCGAAGCCGGCGTCGGATTGCCTTCTGATATCAATTGGGATCTGGTTAAAGAGTAAGTGTTGCTGATTTAGCAAGTTTGTTTATAACGTTCCACGCTTTGTCTTCAAAACGATTACTACGGCACTTGAAACGCATATTAAATTACGCTTAATAAATACACACATAATGGCGCTGTAATTTGAATAAAAAGCTGTCAATACATATCGTGTAAGAGCGCGTGTAACTGATCCATTTGCGTTATAAATATTGAATGTCGCAAAGGGTGTGTGTTATTGACTGCTCGGCTGCCCTAGTAGATAATTTCAGGAGTTAAAAGCCCTCCCGAAAGGCATCCTAGAATGGCTTTACCTAAGAAGGCCTACCTAAATTATCTTTTGGGGTAGGCCATTAAGAAGGCCTACCTAAATTATCTTTTGGGGTAGGCCATAAAATAAGCTTTGACAGCAAATCAAATTACATGTGCCATTTCGCCGGCATGATTGGTCGTGAGATAATTTAATTTCCAATTTGGTTAATGCACTGAAAAGAAATTAAAAAAAAAAAAACGTTGCCACTAAAGTCTTCGGGTTGTTATTGTATCAGCAGTACTCAACCCCCGGTTTTTCTTATGAGTAATCATCTTCATCCTATAACTCGGCAAGCCCATGGCCGAGAAAGCCGTCGATGGGCGCAGCTCCAGAGTGCCTCCGGTGTCAGGGTCGTCGGGTTGGAGGTGCATGCGAAGAGATGTTGGGTGTTGTGTGGACCTGGCCTACATTCTAGGCACGTTTTTTCATTTTTGAGTTCAGCGAAGAGAGATAGCTTTTGAGTCTGTGGCACCACTCAGAACGGTGTTGTGCCAGGGCGCATCTTGTCTCTCTCTCTCTCTCGCCAGTTCTGTTTCTTCTATGCACATGAGCGAAGGTCGACCACCTAGGACGATGTTGCCTTTACTGGTGTTGAGGCTCGTTCTGTCTGTATCGCTGTGTAGGTGGTTGAACTCCTTATGTGGAATGTATGGCCTACGTGCGGCTCAATATCCGTTCTAAAATCGTGCAGCTGGCGTCTCACATCCCACGATAAATTGCTTCGATAGCATTGTGTTGTGGAGATGATGCTCGGAGGACTGAGATGGCAGCCTGTAGTCGTACGCTGAGCTGCGTTTTGGTATGTTCGTAGATTTCTTCATTGCGTGCCGCTCGTTCCTGCCGACCACACTGGCGCTGCGTAATTTGCCACTGTCCGGCCGATTGCCTTGTAAGTCGTAAGCAGGGTCTCTTTGTCGGCGACTTAGGACTTTGCGCATGGCATGCAATTTGTTGCAGATGGCTGCGGCGGACGCAGACAAGAAGATCAAGCTGTGAAACGTCACTCCCAGAATTTTGGTGTGGTTGGTTATCGACATTTTGGCGCCATTGACAAAGGCGTCTAGTGCGAACCTGATCACGTTGGCCGACGTAGTGCAGAGCGTAAAGCGATAAGATTTGCGGCGGAGATTTTTAGGTTTTTGGCTGTAAATAAATTGGGATAGATCGGTTATTTTCTCACAAGGATGTTTGGGCTCATTGCCTTTATCGTAAAATCATAGAGAAGCTTACCAAGTTGACTCCAGCTGGCGACGGGGGGAATATTGCCATGTAGGGATTAAACAGTGCCGAGGAGAGTACGCCGCCTTGAGGTACCCCCTGCTTAATTCTATGCGGCTTGGACTTGGCATTATGAAATTCGACTGACAACTGGCGCCCATACAGATAGGTGGCTAATCACCGTTGCGTCCCAAGCAAAAAGCGATGAGTCGGAAGTTGGCTTGGCAGAGGGTCCCGTGGTTCACAGTGTCGAATATTTTCGACAGGTCAACTGCGACTATGACTGTCCTGACACAGGGTCGACGTTGGTTCAGACCCTCGCTATTCTGTGTAGTGATGGCGTTCAATGCTGTGGTAATGCTGTGCATTTTCCGGAATCTAAGCTGGGTTTTTTGATATTGGGGATAGGAATTGTCGAGTTGTCGTGATTTAAGCCTGAGACGCGGCTGTACTAATGGTGCACCGGAGACTAGAATATGTCGTCATCTTCTTTTGTAACGTTTGTAATATATTTTCGATTAGCTTCTCACCATAATCTGATCTATAAACATATCAGTTTCATTGTATCCACACGGTTTTCAATAAATAAAATGAATATCACCTATGACATTGCTGATTTTATTTTTCTCTTCATTTGCAGGCTTCTATGCGCTTCGCTCCAATGCTGATAGGATGAAGGGAGTCAACCAACATCCATATCAGAATGGGGAAAAACATAGCAGAAGTTTTGAGGCATTTCAATGCCTAAAATCAACCAAAGGTGAGTTACGAAATTTAGTTTACAAACATATATTTTAAATCTTTCTATGATTATAACCACGGATCTAATTACTGAAAACCTTACCTTACCTTACAAATACGCTGTTGATTTATTTCTAAATGAGATTAAAAACAAAAACTAGTATATTTTCATGCTATCTTTACCAGCTCAAACTATAGATGGTTTTTCCTTTTCAAATTCTTGCAGATAAAAATCATGCGCTCTGGCATAACGAGGTAAGTTTTTGAAATGTTTCAAACAATATTAATGAAAATTCTCTAACGACTCAAAATTTTACAAGAATTAAGAAATTTTAAACAGACACAAATTGGACCAAGCAGGTTCCACTAAATTAAACTGAGCATTTTCCGACCGGTCAATTTCCAGAAGTTTCTTACTATTTAAAAAAAAAAAGCTTTGTTTGTTTTTATAATTATTATTAGTAGATATTTAGTTTTTCTACACGAATGATGATATTAATTACCGTATGAGTATATTCAATGACTAAAACTCAACGGCTGCGCTTTTTTGCGTACTGATTTGGATTGATGAAATCTATTTTTTCATTGCCCTTCATTTTGCTACAGCATATAATTATAAAAAAACTTGTTTGTTTTTTTTTTTCAGGAATTCCTATAGTATACCAGTGTATTTTGATTTCCAGATGGTGATACAAAGCTCTGTTACGAAAATTGTAAATATCGTATTAGCGTCCATTCCAATAAACATTGTATATACGAGATTATGACAAGTGCTAAGAAATTTTATCGGAATTTCTACTTTGAAGCCAACATTTTCTATGAGTTTATAAAGGTAAGTAAATTTTGATTTCAAACTAATTCCTTTAAATTTAAATGATGTTACTAATTACCGTATGAGTTTACATACAGTGACTTAATCTTGACGGCTGCGCTTATGCGTTCTGATTTAGTAAGCAAGTGAAAATATGAAATTGAAATAATGTAAGATTATTAACATAACTGAACTTATGTATGTACATATTTTTATTTCTAAGTAGCATTTTTAGACAGATCAACATTTGTTTGAACAAAAATTTCTATTTTTTTATTGAAGATTTATGGCCTTATCCGTAGAAAAGAAAATATATTAAAAGCGCTCTATAAAATGACATTTTCATACAAATTTTCGATTTATATGTAAATCAGTTAAAGTCTGCTTTATTTTTTATGAATTTGGGTGTTAAAGCATAAAACATTTTATCATCTTTCACTTGCTTATTTACTTAGTTTAAGCATAAAAATATATATTTTGTTCGTTACAATTGTTACAACAGCCTTTTTTTCATTTATAGGTGGATGCAACTGCCGTTCAATCAAATGATAATAGCGATATCAATTGAAAAGGTAAATAGTTCGTGCTAAGCGACTTCCCATAACTTAAGTATATTTTTAATTCTAATTAATTCTGTATGATGATATTAATTGGTCCGTGTTTATGAATTTATATTGATTTTCACCTTTCCAATTACTGATTGACAGAAAATAACAGTTCTATTCAGCTATTTAGGGATAATAAGTTAAAAAATGCCTTGAGCAATTTTCCCTATCAGAAGAACACACAATTATATAGATTTTTTTTCGAAAAAATATTAATTAAAGAGAGCCGTGGTAGCCGCGTTGAACTTGTTGAACGCCCAAGGCACGGTTTGTCACTTCACTCTACTAGAAGCCGTTGAGACGTCCGCGCCGGTACAACAACGTCCTATTTACCACGGGGCAGATTAAATCTCGAAGCAAAGAAGAATTAACATTGTTATAGCAGCATAGAAATTCCGTGTTGTAGGGACGATTTAATATACTGTGAACATGAGCATGCATTAAAGACGAAACAACAAAAAGCCAATTAACAACTGGTTCCACAGGTCCCCTCTCCGTTTTGACTTCTGCATCTCGAAGCCTTTTCAGCCAAGAGGGTGTGTTTGAAAGTAATCGGTTATCTCT